GATTAGGGAAAATATTTTCAGGAAAATGGTTGGAAAGCATTGGAATGGGCTGCACAGGGAGTCCCCATCCCTGGAAGTGTTCAGAACACGTGTGCATGTGGCACTTGAGGACAGGGGTTAGTGGTGACCTTGCTGGTGTTGCTGGTTGACACTTGGACTTGGTGATCTTGGAGGTCTTTTCCAAACTTAACAATTCTGTGATTTGAATTTTCCATTACATGTAAAAGCTATCAATTTTAACTTTTTAAAATAATTCCAGGTGAGCTGATAAAATGTTTTGTGTGATTGGATCTTGTCCTTTTAGCAGCTCTCAAGATGCACAGCTTGAAGTTAGCTTGGTGTGAGGACAGACAGATGCCTCTGGGTGGTTTCAGAAAATAGAACACTCTCAAGTATTAAGCAGCTATTAATTAATAATTTTTAATAGGAATAAATATTGCTAACTGTAATTATTGATTACTACAGCTCTGCACAATTTCTGCAGTGAACATATAGATGTTCTTATACTGCACTGATGGTAAAGTGTTTTGTTTTCATTTTTTTTACTTCTAAACATTGCAAAGAAATACCATAAAGACCTTGTACTTCTTTATCTTGTGAGAAAGATGATTCTGGTTTTAGAAACTCAGCTTTTAGTGAAAAAAACCACACTTGAATTATAAACTGTTCATGGAATATATTTATTTCAGTGGGTTATTTAAACAGTGTAAACTAAGGCAGATCAAAGACATGTTTGTTCTGTTTAGGGCATATATATCAAATCCAAGCAATGCTTTGCCTAATACGGAAATTATTCAATGCAGAAATTGTTCAATTGAGAATTTTTCAAGCAATTGAACTTCACTGTGAGTGTTCTTCATCTGAGGTATTAAAGGATTAGGTTGTAATTTAGATCCTTTCATAAGAGCTTTGTTCTAATGACTTTTATACATTTTCTGTGCTGCTTTGCACAAAGTAGAGGAATTACTGAGTTATTAATCGAGTTGAGACTTTGCCAAGGAAGTTCTTTCCATAAATAATCATTTTATTCTTTCACCTGTTTCCATTGCATGAAAAACTGTTCCAGTGTTTTCCTGAATGTCACACTCAAACTGTCCATAAACTTTGAACAAAAGATCTGTGCTGTGACTTCTTTCCAGTTGGGTGGACACAAAGAAAGGAAAACTCTCCCAGTCAGGAAGATCTTGAGAAGGAATTATTGAGCACAGTATTTTCTAGTTGAGATTTTTATAGTAACCTTGTCCTTCCAAAGCCTGAAGGGAGCCTGACAGGAAAGATGGGAGAGAGACTATTTACAGGAGCCTGGAGGGACAGGACAAGGGGCAATGGCTTCAAAGTAACAAAGGGCAGGGCCAGATGGGATATTGGGAAGGAATTGTTGGCTGTGAGGGTGGTGAGGCCCTGGCACAGGTTGCCCACAGAAGCTGTGGCTGCCCCATCCCTGGAGGTGTCCAAGGCCAGCTTGGTTGGGGCTTGGAACAGCCTGGGCTAGTGGAAGGTGTCCCTGCCCATGGCAGGAGCTGGGACTTAAAGTCCCTTCCAACCCCAACCATCCTGTGATTCTGTGATTCATGGATCAAGAAGAAGTTGTTTCCAAGGAAGCAGCACCTGAAATAGCTTTCCTCCCGTGTTTTTACGTACTCAGGTAAAGTCTGTACTCTATACTTTAATTTAGATTGATTTCATTTGCTGAATCCAGTGGAATCTTTCCTTGGTCCTAAAAAAAAAGTGTATAAATGGCTCATTCAGGCGTGCAAAAGGACTGACTGGGTGATGCAAAGCCCCTCTTAAGGTCACCCTTAGGATTAAAATTGATCTACTGAAGTTGATTGCAAAACTCTCTGGATTTACTGACTGAGAATTTTCCTCCCAGATCAGGCACATGGTGGGATTTCTTGGGATTGTCCTGGGCAGGGCCAGGAGTTGGACTGGATTATCCTTGTGGCTGATTTTGTAATCCTTTGGAATTGGAAAATTTTACACAGACCCAGACCATGTCCAGTCCCAGGTATGGACTGCAAAGCATTAATTTACATTTAAAAACTGACATAATTTTGATGTGTCGTTGTGTCATTTGCTCCCCAGTCATCTTTCCTGGCTTTGGAGCCTTTCTGTGCCTATTGAAAAGCTGCTTTTCAAGATGGACTTTTATTACAGGAAATAGAGATTTTGTTTAAAAATATTAGTGCTTCCCATAATGATCTTTCCCAGTTTCTTTCCCATAGTAGTTTATTATATTCTTTCATCATTTTAAAGAGAAATGTATTATTTCAAAGTATTTCTTAAATGTGGATAGAAACAATTTTGGAAAATATATCCTATTTGTTCATAAACTTATGCAGATTCTTCCCACATAAAATAATTTGTCACAATGAGTTTCTATGCATGAGTACAAGCATTCAAAAATCTTGGGTGCAATAATGTGTCAGTGCAATAAACTCTCATTTTAAGAGAGGAAATCTATTGCAAAACTTTAAATTTTCAGGTGTTCATCACACAGTAACTCCTCCTCTCCAGATTTGCCTAAATATTGATTTATTTAATACCTATATACCTTATAAAAGCCCCAATTTAGTAAAATTTTTAACTAGAACTTGTGCTTTTTATTTAAAAAGCAGTGATGCTGCAAATCTGTGTGAGCTTCATTTAGGGCTTCCAAAACACCGGTTCAGACACTTGAACAAAACAGGATCTTCACAGGAGGAATTAAGATGCTGATTTTAAAGGAAATTCAAGCACTGACTTAAAATAAATTATTTTTATCCCCATTTTTTACAGTTGACAATTTTAGTTCAGCATGGATTCAGGTGTATTTGTCAGCTTGTGCTCCTCCTAAATTAAATGTTCCCAAATTAACCCAACAGCAAATTTAAGCCTTGAAGAAAATGCCTTTTATTTTTCCCCCTCCTGTAAATCTCTTTTTGCAAATATTTGTACAGGTGCTATTTCAGAGAGACAGATTTAAAACCAGGCTTAAAATCTGTATTATAACTTGTGTTTCCCTGTAAGTAATGCTGTGTTTGCAGGGACATTTCTCCCAAAGGCAGTGACAGTAAGTGCACTAATAAAACACTGTAAATCATGTCAGAATATACAATTATTGGCATTGGGGAAATTTAGTTAGTTAGTTTGATCACATGTGGGCTGGGAGAGACTGTAATAAATTCAGCTTTCAAAGAGTTTTACTGGTATAAACTGTTTGGTTTAGATACAGCATTCAGGAATAACTGCTCTTGTAGAGACCCCCAGGAAGGATCTGACTTTAATAACTCTGTATTAGCAATTATACCCAATTAGTTATCCAAAAGAATCCTGATTTTTGAATGTTTTATATCTAAATTAAAGGTTGTCCAGTAGAATAAAGTTATAGTGGAAAGCTGAAACAATAGTAAATTATTATTATTATTATTATTATTATTATTATTATTATTATTATTATTATTATTTCCTGACTTAATATGCTGAAGTAAATTAAAATCCCACCTAAGCTTATAAAATAGACTTCCAAGTAATTTAATTGAAAAGAAATAAAATTTAAAAGGTTTCTTATATCTGTGTCCCATCCAAAGTACCCTAAAGCCATCACACCACATAAACTAGTCTTTGAGGCAAGCTAGATAATGAAATAAAATAGTAGTAATATCAAGAGTTCTGCTTTGGGAAAAACTGGTTAGGGGAATTTTATCCCCTGAAGCACAAAAGGCTGGATGACCTTTCTCCCCCTGTATCTCTTTCCCTCACACATGCACAGAACTTTAAGTTGGAATTAAGGTCACCAGATTGCATGTCTCAATAACGTGTAGTTTTATTATTGTTATTGTCGTTGTTTTTATTATTCTTATTGTTGTTATTGTTATTACAGATTCAAGTATGGGCACAGGTACAGGCACAGGTTCAGATACAGGTTTAGGTTCAGGTATGGGCAGAGGTTCAGATACAGGTAAACATACAAATACAAGTTTAGGCTTAGGTTCAGAGTCAGGTTCAGGAACAGATACAAGTAGAGATGCACGTACAGATGCAGATACAGGTACAGGTTCAGGTAGCAGGGAGGGTACAGGCACAGGCTCAGGTACAGGGATAGGTACAGCTACAGGTACGTGTGTGAGCACAGGTTCAGGTACAGGCATAGGTATGGGCACAGGTAGAGGTACAGGTACAGATTCAGGTTCAGGTACAAGTATAGGCACAGGCAAAGGTGCAGGTTCAGATGCAGGTTCAGGTAGAGGAACATGTTTCATTTACAAGTTCAGATACAGGCACAGATAGAGGTACAGGTACAGGCACAGGTTCATATACAAGCACAGATACTAATATGGGTACATGTTCATGTAGAGGCACAGAGGCAAGCGCAGGTTCAGGTTCAAGTACAGGTTTATGTTCAGGTACAGGCACAGGTAGAAGCACAGGTTCGCGAATAGGTTCGGGCACAGGTACAAATGTAGGTGGAGGCTCGTGAACAGGTACGGGCTCAGGGACAAGTGCAGGTTTATGTACAGGTCCGGGTTCAGCTCTCCCCCCCGTGAGGGTGCTCCGGAGGCCCCTCAGCGCTGCTTCCCCCGCCCTGAGGCGGGAGCGGCTCCCGGGGGGCGGAGCCTCCGTTTGAACTCAAACCGCCTCCGCCGCTCCCCATTGGTTCCGCCGCGCGTCGCGCGCCGCCCCTTCCACCAATCAGAGGCCACCGCGCTCCTTTTCAAAATCTCAACCGTCATCAGCTGGGTTCGTTTCTCCTTCCGCCCGTCGGGCACCGGGCAAAGCTAAAAGAGTCCGGGGGCCCGGTGCCGCCTGTCGCGGACGGCGGGCTCGGGGCGGTCCCTTAGCCACGCGGCCGCCGCAGGTGGAGCCGGCGGCGGCGGCTCCCGCTTCGTCGCCTGCGCGGCTTCCGGGGCTCCGTTTCGTGGTTGCGCGCGGAGGATACACCGAGAAAATACCGTGTGGGGGGGAAAGGCACAGGGGTTGGTGCGCGCGGGGAAGGGCTCAGTCGGGGCCGCGCCGTGCCGCGTGACGGAGGGGGGGAGGGGGAGGCTCCGCCACACAGGGCCCTCAGCGGCCGCCAGCGCTCCGAGCGAACCAGGTACGGCTGGGCCAGAGGGTGAGAGGCCGGGGGGAGACCGGCTTTGGGCGAGGGGCCGCGGGGAGGGGTCAGTCCTCATGACACTTCCTGCTCGGTGGCTGCCTACCTCGCCATGATGGCTATTGGCCCCTCCTGGGGGTTTATTCCTCCCTTCCTCGGTGTTTATGTGCCCCCGCTGGTGGCTGTGGCCGCCCGGAGGCCGGGCTTGTAAATTTTGGCTTGTAGGAAGCGGTGGGTGCTGTGAACAGGGTGCTCTGAGTGCAGGACAGCGAATATTGTCGTTCCCCGGAAGGCACAGGCAAAGGGGACTCCTGAGGGCACTGTCAGGCTCTCCCCAACCTGGGGCTTGCTGTCAACAAGTGTTTTATCCGAGCAAAAAATTACAGAAGGCTCTCTCTTAACTGCGTTTAATTCCCTTGCTGCTTTCAATATAGAGTATTTTTATGCAGGCTCCTTTGAGGATCGCTTGTGCTTCGTGACACTCTCATATCTATACGTGAAATAACGCAGGTTACCTGAAAGTATATAAGAAGTGTATCTGGTTGTGCAGATGGGTTTAAATCAGTTAAAATCCATTCCTCCTCCTTCTGCTTCAAGGGCTCTGCTGGGTAGCAAATACTTCTTAAATAAGTGAAATAGTCTGACTTTACATAAACATATTCCCAGTTTTCCAGACAGGGAGACACATGGAAACAGCACTGAGATTATTCTGTCCGTTGGAGTATGTTGAACAAAAGTAACATATAAAAATGTACATCAATTTACTCTCATAAAACGTTATTGGGATGAATAATCTGGATGTTCTTTTCCAGGTAAGGTTCCCTACATTCCAAGATGCCGCGCTACGGGAAAATTGTTGTCATTAAAAGGAATGGGACCGATGGAATTGTTTTTCCACTCACCTCGACTTCTTGTTTATTCGGAAGGTGAGAATTTGTTGAGCACTTGCACACATCGAAATAATGAGTGATGTTTTCCTGCAGATTAGATCTTTTAATACTTATTTGCAAAAATAAATGTTTATTTGTGAATGATGCACAGGGGAGAGAGGGAAGGTGATCCTGGACTAATTAATTGTAGGACCAGAAAGTTGAACTTCTTTTTTTGTTATTGCTTTTTGTCCTTTCCTTGCCAGAACTACTTTTATCTATCTATCTATCTACCTATCTATCTATCCATCTATTTATTTATTTTAAGCTTCTGGCCAAAGGAAATCTGAGGAAGGGATTAAAAGTAATCCACAATTGATAAAAAGGTGATGAGATTGTCTTACCTAGAGGCAGTTTCCAGATAACTGACAAGTGAAAATAAATTTTTATTTACTTTTTTGTACTTCAGAACCTCACTGATGGAAGATGTCAACCCAAACTAGAATTAGTATTAAGAATTTATACCTCCTTCTCCAGTCTTGAAACTAACTTTGATATACTCACTTGAGTGACAGTGGGTTTTGAGCTTGATCCACATGTTTTACATTGAAAGATAAAATTAATACACCCAAATAGGATGTATGAAGACTTGACCATATCATCATCATCGTGATCTTACTGTAAATAGGCTGCAAGTAAAATATTTTTGTTTCTCTTAAACTAAGCCTGTTCAGTGCTTTACTGACTGATTATATTACCTTAAATAATTGTAATTATTCAGTCCAGAATCTCATCCCATGGTGAAAGTCTGTGAGAAGCACTGCAGGGTCGATGATACTGTTTTTTGGTGGGAGCAGAGCTGTCCAGACAGGTGATAATTAATGGTGCAAACACTAATTTCAAGCAGGTACAAATTTCCCCAGGTACACTAATTTCACCAGGTATTGTGCACAGTAGGTGCTATGTTTCCTGCCTAAGACCTACAGCACATCAAAGGCAATAGAGGTTAGCTTAAAAAAAGGACAGACAGGGAAACTCTGTACACTTAGAAACATGTTTTCCCTCCCTCACAACTTTTAAGAAGGTAAAAGTGCTTATCCAGGTGAGGCCAAAGGTCCAACTATCTGTTCTCAGGTCAGTAACAAAGGGCTAAGACAGAGCTTAAAAGCATGTGCTGATATTGTATAGAAATATTCCACAAGTCTTGGGGAAACTTGGGAAACAATCTCAAACCACCAGCTGTCTGTTGTCGTGTCTCTGCTTGTTGTGATCTGCTTTTTGGAAGGTTTGGGTATTTCACATATTGTTTCTGACACAGATTCTCTGAAGTACGAGCTGCTATTTTTTGTCACACTTCAAAGATTTGAGGTAGTTAATTATCTTCCAGTTTTAGAAATCCTGCTTCTGTACAATTATTAACTAAAATATTGGGAAATCCCGTAATTCTAGAGCAGGTTTTTCTGTGTCTCGTGTGCAACTCCAACTGTATTTCCCCCCAGGAAAACAGAGTGTGACATCCGCATGCGACTGCCCTGGGTCTCCAACGAGCACTGTAAAATCGAAATAAATGAGAACAAGGAGGTAAGATCTGCATGTTTTCATGGAATAAGCATTGCCTTGTTGCATCTCAGCAGGCCACTGAAATATTTGTTCTATTTTCAGGCAGTACTGACTAATTTGAGCACAGTAAACCCCACACAGCTGAATGGGGTTTGCTTTGAGCAGCCTGTTCCTCTGAAGCACGGGGATGTCTTAACTATTATCGATCGTTCTTTCAGGTGGGTGCCAGTGCCAAACTGTTCATTAATTGATCCAAGAATGTAACTTCATGTAGTTTATTTATTTCATATTTCTTTACACTTGATTTCGTATTTCTTTACTTGTTTATTACTTAATCCAAGAATGTAACTTAATGTAGTTCATGTCATATTTCTTTGCAAAGTCTTACAGACTGTTGTCAGAAGACAGGATTGCTTGAAGATTCTGGGTTTTTTAATCACTTATGTTAAGCTAAATCAATAAAGATAAAACTGTCTTCAGAGATTGTTTTGATTTTGTTTCCAGTGTAGTCAGTTTTGGGGATAAATTTAGCAGTATTTTTAAGTTGTTAAAGCCTTTACAAGTGACTTGTGTATTGTTGGGAGGGGAAAACTATTTCTCGGTCTTTTATCTTAGTAATGGGAATTTAGTCATCAACTCTTTGACAAAAAATGGGTGTATTTTAAAATATTTCTTTCAGATTTGAATATCCTCTCCAGTCAACTCCGAAGAAGAGGCGTTCCAGGTCTCCAAAAGATGAAACCCTGCAGGTAATTTTGTGGCCATGGGCTTTTTTGTTACAAGTATTGGTATTAGTAGCGAGGCAGAATTTTATTTCTTTGTTCTATTTTCTTATTAGGAGTAACTTTTCAGCCCTAAACTACCTTTCTATCTGAAAATACAAATAAACTCCTTCAGATAAGTGCTTGAAAAAATTTAGTGATTTTCGGCTTGTCAGTTTTTGCTAATAGATGATTAATAATCTATGATGTTACTAATGCAAGCAGAGCTATAAATCTTCCACTATAGATCTCTCTTCTGTTAAGAAGGGGAGATTGAAATGTGCTGGTTTATATTCTTATGCTACAGCTGCTTTTAGAGCTGATAATGCTAAAACAAGACAAATTTCTGCTCTGGGGCCTCAAACGTGTTGGTCAATGTTCTTAAATATTGAAATACTCTGGGATTTCATTTGAATACTTTTAAGCCTGTTTAGTAAAAAATGTGTATACTTCTGTAAAGAGTGTTTTTCAATGTACAGTTAAAAGCTGAACTGTAAAATACTTGTTGCTGGGCTGTAATATTGTACAAATTTACAGGTTCTTCATGTTCAGCAGGTGGCAGAAGTGGAATTATTACACAAACAAACTTCAGGATCTAAAAGTCTTGGTGCTTCAGGTTGGTACCTGTTTTATGGGTTTTGTTTTCTTGTGTCCCCTTGACTGCATTCATTCTTAGCATAAGAAGAAAAACAAGGTTAAAAAGAAGAAACAAAGGCATTTTAAGACTCTTGAATTTGACACCACCTTGCTGTGGCAGTGACTGTCTCATTATACCTACATGCACTGATTTCCCAAATCTACATCCTGCCAGGAGAAATCACTGAATTGCATCCTGACATATGGGCAGGAACAGCCTGGCATAGGCAAAATTCACAGATATTACTTTCAGTGATTTATGCACATTTGAGTTTGGAAAGGAAGGTCAGTTCACCAGCTTTGCAAGTGCAATACAAATGTGAGTTGAAACTGGTATTTGAAACAATTTCCTGTTACATTTTACTTTGCAGAGGCAGCAAACGCTTAACATGTGGCAAATTCACCTTTTTGATTAAGATTTACCTTGCAGTTCTCTGCTATATCTCTTTTCAGCAAGTATTCTTTCCTAATAAGACACTGAAATAAGTATAAATTTGGGTATACATATTGAAGTAATTGTTTACAGTAACTGCTTCATGTAGAACCAGAAAAATTTGGAGCTTCCAAGTCTAATAGTTATAGCCCATGAAGGGGTTAAATGCCAGGACTTTACCTTCCCGTCCTTCTTGTCTTAAATAACTTCGTAAAGATACAAAGTTTTTTGGGGAAGGCTTTTTATCTACAGATGGGTTTGATTTTTATGACAAATATTCCAGTTTTAAAAGCCCAGGCTGTTTCCAAGTGTTCTATTTCAATGGACCCTTGTTGACTGTCTTGGGAGAGGAATGGAAGGAATTTTTAATCTGTATTTATGGAACTTATATTTGTAGTTCTGCAATTTATAAGTCACTTTCTGTATTACTTTTTGTTTTGCTTTGCTTCCTTTATAGATAATGCTGAATGTGAAGAAAAAATTGCCAATGAAAATAAACAAACCACAGAGGAAAATGTATCCAAAGCTTTACCTGTCCAACCAAAAACACCCAAACCTTCACACAGAATACACCAAGTTATTAAAAAGCAAAATGAGATGTCTCCCTTTACTAATCTCTATGAAAAGCTGAAACATGAGATGCAAATGAAAAAATCTCTGCAGAAGGGAAATGGCTCCCAACAAGCTGCAAGAGAAGGTGGAGAGAGTGTTGTGCCAGAGCCAAGTGCTCAGATTTCATCCCCTGGTTGTGATCTGGGCAACCTGAATAAAGGAAAAGAAAGAGGCAGAAGTGGAAATATGGAAGAATGTGTAATTGTAAGAAGTGAAGTGAACCACTCAGGGTTTCAGCAGCTGGCAGCTGGAGGAAGTGCTCCCAGGAGGAGTTTTCCCAGGAGGAGTTTTCCCAGAAGTCTTCAAAATTCTCTTTCGCAGGAGGTGTCGAGAGATACCAGTCAGAGTCACTTGCAGAATCCTGAGGAACTGAGTACACCAGTCACATCTAAAGGTGCCAAGGTTACTCCCAGCAAGGAGAATGGTGAGAATTCCCTGTTTTCACTGCAGCAGTGCTCCATAGAACGCTTGGATTCTTCAGTTAGGGAGAAAATACACATCTCTACGACTCACACCCCAAAGGTTTCTGAAGCAGATAAACATGTGCTGTCCACACCAAGGCCCAGGAGGAAGAGCCCTCGGTCTCCTTTTGTGTCTCCTTCCAAGGAAATCACTGGAATGAATCCTGTGAATGCTGATACTCCAACCACCCGCCGGCGTGTGTCACTGAAACCCAAGTGTCTGTCAGAAATTCCAGCTGAAACTCCAAGGGAAGGTTCAGACATGACACAACTGCCTTTCCCAGAAAACAAATCCATGAAACAAAGACGAAATAGCAAGGGACGCCCGTCAGGAACACCTGCACAAGAAGTGCTGAAGGAAATCAGTGATCAGGCAAACTTTAACTCAGAGGTGGGACTTTCTGAAAGTCCTGCTGCTTTCTCCAATTCCAAGAGTCCCAGAAGAAATAGCAGGCAAAGTAAAGAATTCTTAGACAAAAGTGTCCAAACAGAGACACTGGCTTCAGAAGAGTTAATGGCATCTCCTGCTGGACAGACACCTGGCTCTGGGAGGAAAAGGGGAAGGCCAAGGAGCTCTGAGAGGAAAAGGGGAAGGCCAAGGAGCTCTGGAATGCTGACTGAAACAGCACTGGAGACAAATACTGTGCAAGAACATCCTGGTAAGACTAGAGACAGAAAAGAAAGTGTAACTCCAGCAGAGCTGGCCATGGAGGGGCATCACCAGAAACAAGACTTGGAAGATGCTGGTGATATCAGACCACGTGGGCTGTCAGCAAAGAGAGGTTCTGGAAGTACTCCTATGCTGGAAGACAACAAGGCTGTCCCAGAAACAAATACTTCTGGCCTGTTGGGTGGAGAAGACTCAAGTAAATACATTTTATCCACTGCTTTGTTTTTATATTGAGAAATTCTTAAAACACCTTTCTGAGAATTTTAACACTTATATAAAATATAGAACCAATTGCTGATATTAGTTCTAAAATATGTAGTTATATTTGATCATAACAATACTCCGTAACATAATTAAAGTTTCCTCAATTAAATCTATTTCTCTTTAAGGTAAGTTCCCATCTGGTTCGTTTCCAACTTCAACATGCACAAGGAAACACTGTTTTCCATGTGGGTTAAAATGTTGACTTGGATACTTAGATACATAGAAATATTTTCAATTGTACTTTTTAGGCAAGACAAAAAGGTTGTCTCAGAAGAGGAAAAGTGATGATTTGCTCCTTCAGACTTCAGGAAAAAGAAAGAGAGTGTCTTTTGGTGGCCATCTGAGTCCAGAACTGTTTGATAAAAGTTTGCCTCCCAACTCTCCCCTTAAAAGAGGAGCTCTTCCTGCCAGGCTGAGCTTGCCCTATGGAACCTCACCTCGTGCTGTGCTGAAAAAGGCTCAGGGATTGAAGCTCTTCACAGACCAGGTAAACTTTAAGACTTCTCAAGTTGCTAAGACCATTACTGCGAACAGAACTTATAAATTCTATTTTTTTTATTCTACTATTTATTATAATTATTTCAAAATTAGTAGCAAACCTTGTTTGATGTATGTTGGTGTCACAAATGAGTGTTTTAGGACACTCAAAAAATCACCAGCAAAGGCATTGGCAAAAGCAGGTTTATTATGAAGTGAAAATGCAACAAAGTTCATGGACAAGGTCACTTTGCAATTTACTGGATGGTTATAGCACATGGAGAAAAATCAGATTAAAATCAATCAATTTGAAACTGAAATCTATGTAAAACGATCCAAGTGGAGGCCGGGCATGGAAAAAGGGTAAAGATGGGAAAGGGTAAGAATAAAAAGGACTAACTAATGGGATATCCATGCTACTTAATCCTCCTGATCCAGTCCCCAGGATACCAGTCCCATCTCTCCCTGAACCTTTTGGAGAGCTGAGGGTCCCTCCATAGGACTCATCAGAGGATGGAGACAGGAATGCTGACCAGGCAGGTTCAATTATTATTCTGCATTGATAATTCCAGTGGTTTGAGAGACCACAAAGGATTAAATAGCACTTGTTTCTGTGGATTTGATGGCATAGGATCAGGTCTCAGAAATCTGTGGAGAGGAGCTTTCACCAGTCCTATCAGGAGCCTGGGAGGTAGTGGGATGTATTGTGAGGGTTAAGTTAGTTTTTATTGTACCAGTACACATTGTTACAGTTGTGGGTACCTTACACTCCTTCCCTTTCCATACTTGGTTTCAGTGTGATGCATATTTGGGTTTAAGGGCAGTTCTGAGTTACCACAGAGATTGTTACAGATGAAAGAAGTGAGGGTTTCAACCCTCAGTGGGTTGAGCTTGTTGATATCTGTGCCCTATTTGGTTCATTCTGGCCCTGGTTGCTTCTATGAGAAAGGTAAGCAATCCTTCAGTGGACAACTTGATCTTCAGTGGAGATGTGCTGAAAAACTACTCCATTAAAAAGAAGAAAAAATCCATCTGTGCTAATTTTATGTTGTTGGTTTTGTTTGGTTTTTTTTTACCAGGAAAAACAGATCTCACAAAGAAGTTTGCCAGCCCAGAAGTCCCCAGCTGCCTCCTCCCCTTCCTCAGGGAAGGCAGCACCTCAAGTCCCTTCAGGCTCTCCAGCCCCTTACAGAAAAGGGCGTTTCTCCATTTCCCAGCTCCCGGCGCAGCTCCCAATCCCAGAGGAGAAGGATTCTGGTGCACAGGACCTGAATGCAAAGGAGAAAAGCGGTGTGAGAGTGAAAACACCTCAGTCTTCCCCCATTAACCAAGATGACAAAACCTTTGCATCACCTACACCTGCCAAACCAACCAGAAGTGCCCAAGTGGGTTTGAAGGGCACTTCCACGAAGAGAAGGAGCGGGGCTGTGGGAGTTCTCCATGCAAAGAGAAGAAGCGGTGCCTCCAGTGCTAATTTATTAGGTTTGTTTCAGCAACTGCTTTGAAATATTCATTTTAATGCTTTAAAATACAGAAACAAAACTGAAGTAGGCTTGCTTTGTTATGCAGAGGCCACCAAGAGATTGGTGTGTCTTCTGACAACTCTTGGGCTTGTTGGAAGCAACTGGGAAGTGCAAAATGTTGCATTTTCTCGTATTCATAAAGCAAACTTACTAAAACATCTATTAACTCATGTTTAGAACACAAACCTTAATGTTCAGAAGTTGAGAAATGGTAAAATTAGCATCCTTTTTGCAAGGTTAGTTTCCAGTGCTTTTTCAGATAATTTCTTGGATGCTTGGTATTTTTCTCTGCATCCAGAACACCTTTGCAATGACAATTTTTCGAAGTTCTTTTTATTTACAGACTTACACAGCAATTCTGACAGGTCAGTAGTAATATCCTTTTATTTAGGAACAGCATTCCCATTTTATTTTTACTTAAATAACTGATTCCTTTTGTATAATCCCTGTTTTCTCCCAGCTTTTTTTTCCGAATCAAAAGAGGCAGATATCCTACAAACTTCCAGCTTCATTTATTACACAGCTATAACTAATTCCCTGATCCCTCTGTTGTGTACAGAATCATGCTGGGATAAAGGTAACTTCGCTCTGGGAATTTTTGAAATGTGTCATAAGGAGAAGGTGATACAAGAGAAATTATGAAAACTGTGTAGATCTAAATGCTTTAAGCAGTATAAATACAGTTTCCTGCCTATGAAATTCCTCAGGAAGGTGGTGAAAGACAAGCTGGATATGCTCTACTTCTAAACCATTTCTCTGATGTTAAATCTCACCAGAGGAAAACTCGTGGATAACGAATGAGTCTGAAAGGCTCATGGCAAGTTTTTTGGTGAAAAATTCTCTCCTTGCTAAAAGAGTGAGTATGGAACTGGGTCAGTGTTTGGTTCCAGGATCTCACATCTCTGACACTGTGTGGAGCTCATTGTTTTGTTGTGGAAAGTCATCCTGAGGAAACTTGGCCACTTGTTAAATTGGGGTTTTCCAACTGGAAGTGTTTCAGAGAGCACTTTTGGTGGTGTCAGATGATACAACAACCACTTTCTTGTGCCTGACTGCGTTGGAAAATCATAAAGAAAATCAATTGGAATCATGAAGAAATAATTGTGAACTTCCATTTAAAAAGCTGAGAGTTAAAGTGGTTATTTCTCCCTTGCTTTCTAGTTGCAAAATCTTGGGCAGAAGTGGTAAAATTGGGTGTTGCAAGACCACAGTCAAAGACTTCTAAGAAAAGTGTCCGAAGAGGAAGACCCCCAAAGAGGATAAACCAACCACCAAAGGTATTCTTTTTCTTTTTCATGCTCACTTTGTTTTCTTGCATGGCTACCAAACAGCTTGGATATATTTTGCTACAGAAGCTGGAGGCTTCTGAGCTCTTGCTGGAATGTTGATGCCTTTGTCATGGCATGTAAGGAATGTAGGTTTTGTTTAAAAGGAATCATAGAATCGTTAAGGTTGGAAAAGACCTCCGGGATCACTGAGTCGAATATTTGAGCAATAAGATCCTCAGTAAAGACCTTGAACAGGATTGTGCCCAAAACTGATCTTTGGGGAACCCCATTAGTGACCAGCCACCAACTGGAGATGGCACCATTCCCCACTCTGGGCCCAGCTGTTACACCAGTTCTTAACCCAATGAGGAGCACACCTGTCCAAGCCATGGGATGCAGCTTTTCCAGGGGAATGCTATGGGAGATAGTGTCAAAGACTTCACTGAGATCCAGGTAGATAAATCCACAGTCTTTTCTTCATCCACTGGGCAGGTCACCTGGTCATAAAAGGTCAGGTTGGTCAGGCAGGACCTTATTTTTCTAGGCTGAGCCTGCTCCTTGTAGTCCGGTATGTGCCATGTGGTCACACTGAAGTTGATCTGTTCTAGGACCATCCTGAGTGCCAGGATCAGGCTGATAGGCCTGTAGTTCCCTGTGTCCTCCTTCCAACCCTTGTAGCTGGCACTGGACAACCTCCAGTCATGTGGGACCTCCCTGGTTAACCAGGACTGATGATGAGTGATGGAGAATGGCTTGGCCACTTCTTCTGCCAAGAAGAATCTTTATTTAATAACTCTTATTTTTCTGTTTCCTATTGCCTCTGCAGACTCCAGAGAGGAAAATAAAAGGTCACTTCAGCACAGGTCATGCTGAGTCACCTGCTACAATAGTTGTAGGTAGAGCTTACTCCACCACGCTCAGATCAGCTGGACGCGTCCCTAAAGTGGTAAAAAATCCCGTCCTGAAGCTCAACATGAATATGGATGAAAGCTTCACAGGTGAGGTTTTAGTCTCTTGCTCACTCTGCCACTTGTGTAGTTCTTGTGTCAAAACATGTGCTTACTTCTCCAAATACAATTTCTAGGAGTGCCTGAAATGTTTCAAACTCCGGAAAATAAGAGTGAAAAAACATTACCTTTGGCTGCTGCTCAGAGTGCTGATTTTACACCAACCTGTGCTGCAGGGGACATTTCTGACTTGCACACCCCTGAAGAATCTGGTATGTTTGTAATCTAAAAAAAGGGATAATTAGGGTGTAATGTGTGGTAGCTGTGGTCTCAGCCTGGGCAGACTTAAAGTATTGAGATTGTCACTTGTAAAGGGGCAGAAAAGATGAATTTTCTGTCCAACTTGTATTAATTTGGTTTTTTGGCTGTCAGCATCCCCTAGGAGATCAAAGCCTTTTAATGTCCAAAGCAGTCTGTTAGCCTCTCGCCTAATGGGACCCTTCGCTTAACCGATTCACTGAGACAGGCAGGACATTTGATACCTATTTACAAAAGGACTGCACAGAACAGCAGTAGGAAAACTCCTCACGTTTCTCCTATGAATTATTTCGGCATCGGCAAAACTGTCAGCACCTAAAAACGGACTCAGTCTAACAGTTCACGAAGTAACATGTTTATTAATACAAGTTTGTGACAATGTCTGGGGTTCACTGTGTCTGGAATAGGCTCTAACTGCCAAAAAAATCACATTTGAACTATGTAGTAATAATAATAATACAAAGCATAGGCACACACGCTAAAGCAAAAGCAACTTACAATGAAGTAGAAAGTAAGAATGTTAAAGTAGTATGGAGCAAAAGTAGAAGTAGTGGATAGGTGTGAAGCAATCGCTCACCCCACAGCATTCCAAGAAGGTGGAGGGAGAAAAGGCGGCCCTTCAGTTACCTCCACAGCATTGATGGAACTTTTCCCCAATTTTTGCTTATGTCCAATCTCTCTTTATACCTTTTTCTTTAGGAAGTTTGAGTGTCTGTAGTCAATAAATTAATTTTTGGGATGATAGAAGTAATAGGCTCGAAGGTCCACTTCCCGAGTTCCTGGCAGCCAGGAAGTTTGCAAAAAAAGACCAGTGTTATCTCCATATCACTCCTTTCTTCGTTTTAATCCTTTTATCAGTTTCTGAGAATGTCTCCCCAGGTGAAGGGTTTTTCCAGGAAACCATCAGAAGCCTTTTTCTTTTGTGTGGTCCTATCTATCACCTTACAGAGATAAAGCATCCATAACCATAAACCAAACCATTAATATTAATCATGTATCAAAAGAAAATTTTGTAGTTCCAGTTAATTTCTGTGTAGGCGATTTTCTTATTTATTCTATTCGTATGAAATTTAACTGTTGAACTATTGTTTATTACATAAATCTACTACTTATTTCAGGAGAAATGATGGTGTCACCCTTAAATAACTCAGATGCTTCAGAACAGAAACAAGAGAGTCCAGGCATTTGTCACTTGCTGAGAGAGAAGTCATCTCTAAGCTCTGTATTTGATGAAATATCCACAAAAACTCCTGAAAAAAGAAAATCTGTGCAAGAAGTTAATATTAATGTGGATAGTTTATCAATCATTCCAGAAAGACAAGAATCTCTGGTGAAATCGGGAAGGAAAAGAAGGACTCCAAAGCAGAAGTTGGAACAAGTTGAGGTCATGTCAGACATCAAGCAGCTTTTAAGGACCCCAGAGCAAGGGTCAGAGGCAGTAGAGTTCTTTTCTGGCATCAAGCAGCTCTTGAAGA